GGGTCGTATTAATATCTTTTATAGAATTAATTAAACTCTAATAATTTTTATTTAGAATAAATCTAGATTATATACTTAAATCTAGATTATATACTTATGCGACGGGGGCGAAGGAAGTATCAGCACAAAAGCTTGTCATGATGTGCATAGTTTATCTGGCCAGGTAGATGTGTGTATCTTTAACAAATCGGGAGCTGTTTTTCTCTCTGAAAGGCAAATCTCCGATTGCGAGCTCAAAAAGGCTCGAATGGACAAGACGAGCTGTTGTTGCTACTGTCATTTTAGCTTGGCACTTTTTTTCAAGAGGCCATTTTGATCTCGGCTCTGTTCGCTTGTCTTATAATCCATATTTTTCAGCTTGTTTTTTCAGCCGGAACAGTATTTTTCTCTCACGGCAAATCAGCCGGAACAGTATTTCGGCTTGTTGTTTCAGCGAAGCGAACATAGCCGATCACCACTTCCTACTTTCTTGTGATCGGATATTTTTTCAGTCCAGCACATACGATGGAAAGAAGTTCCATATATAGCACTCGTCATCATCGATCCCCAACCTGATGTGGATGGTTTGTTCAAGTATCCAAGTTTTCAGTTGCGATTTCAACTCTTGTGTGAAGTAAGCACGCATGCATCAGAGATATCTCAAGAGAATCTATGATGACGAGGTAATTACCAAGTGCACATTACATTCGAATTTAACCAGTATACGGCTGATCCTCAAGAAGTTAAACTTACAAGTTTTTCTTTCGTCTTTCAATGTTGTGAGACTAGCTTTGGCAGTATGGTACTGCTCTACTTCATGATTTTCGGTTCTACTTCAAAAACTGCATGGTTGAGCAGCTCAAGCATTTTCTAGAATTTTCATTGTGTCACCAAAATGGTCTCCTGTCTCCTCCAAACTATTTAGAGTCTATTTGGATAGTTTGAAATATTTACATAGTTTGAAATATTTAGAGTCTATTTGGATCTAAGAGTTAATTGTTAGCTAGCTAAATATTAGTCTAAATTAGCTACAGGACGTCCAAACGAAAGGGCTAATAGATGAGCAAATTTTTTAAGCTAAGTTTTCAGCTAGTTGTTAGCCCACTAGCTATCCAACCACAGCTAATCTGAGCGAATTTTTAGCTCATCTAATAAGTAGTCATGTGTATCTAAACATGCTCTTACTTAGACGTATCATATATCATACACACAACAAAATCATATATTATAAAATAAAGGCAAAACGGTAGAGCTATTGCAAACAGATTAGTAGTATAGTTTTCACGTTGTCTTGTTACTGCTGACCTTTGTCACGTGTAAGCTCTGCACTATTGGTACATGCACGCCGACTTGATCCGTTTATTTTTTCATCTAGAACCGTATTTTTCTCTCACACAAAATCAGCTGCTACAGTGTTTTTAGCCGTGAACAGTGGGAGGTATAACCCAAATCTCCAATAGAATATCTATACTCTCCAACAGAGTATCTATATATGAGACATATTTTGGGTGTCATGAGAGGTATAACCCAAATCTAAGACACTCTCTCCTATAGATCTATTTGTATAAAAATTCTCTTTTAGGTCTTATTATTGAAGAAAAAAAAAAATAAGTAGTGAACCCTTTACTTATAACGCTATTAAACATAAAATAGATCTCGTATTCTAGGTAAAGCTTGTTGGAGACCGTCTAAGGTGAACAAATATCCGGCAAAGGCCAAAGCGGGTGTGCCCCCAACCCCAAACCCAGCAAGGATTAGGATTACGTGCTCCGCTTGTGCACGTTTCGTTGGACGCACCGTGTAGAGTGCGATATTTCTTACGTGTCGAATCCGTGCTCGCAAAATAGAAACTGCCACGCGATCAAATCCTCGCACCTCAGCGAGAGCAGTTGGCATAGAGTACCGAGCGTCCGAGGCCCTGTTCGATTTTATCAGTCGTATTGTTTCGATGAAATAATAGTGTTTTTCTTTCGTAATGAATCAGCACCGCATCAGCATCCACCATTTTTCCGGCGAGCCGAGCGTAGCCTGGAGTCGTGTCGTGTGAGCTTTTGTCGCGCGTACCAGTGACGCTGACGCGGGTGGCCACCACCTATCAGGCATTAGCATCACGGTGCTGGTTGCTATAATAACTGTTGCTTGGGATACTCTGAACCTGAGCTATTTGAGGCAGTTAAAAACAGAGGCCGATGGGTCGCGTAGACCGATCCATATCCATTGCATACGTTCGGGAATACTATAATTGCGCTGTGTTTAAGGATCACGCTGAGCTGAAGCGGTCGTGTTCTCTCAGGATTCAGGAATATTCTACTCTCCACAAATGGGAGTGAGGCAGATCGAGGTAGCCTCAACCTCCTTTAATTTGTTCCAGAATCGAGATAGCCTCAACTTGCAGCGATAGCGGATCCAACTAGCCAACTAGGATAACCTCAGAGGTCAGTTCAATGAACTTGTGGCGTAGCACGCTGGTGGCAGCTTGTGGCTGCGGAACGATGGCTGTTTCTGCTATTTTTCCAGCTGATCTCGAACTTCACGAGTCTCGTCGCACGAACAGTCTGCTTTCCGGCGTAAATCACAATCGTGTCAGGAATTTTCTCCTCAAACCAAGAGCCTGCAATCTGCTCGATCAGAAAGCCCCGGGTCTCCGGATGACGATGGACGCTTGGACAGGACGTAGGAGGCCATCTCCTCCGATCCTTCCTTCCATGTCGGCCACTCCTACTCAGCGCCCACTAGTAACTACGGGCGGACTGGAAGAAGACGACATCCACCGACTGCCTATGTATGCGTCCGATAATAGATCAGCGTTTTGTCATAGGAAATGAGTGGTACCCACACGAAACACAAATTTATACTGGTCAGATATGAGAGGTACCATATGTCTAGTGGAGAATGATTTCTCTATGCGCCGGACGTTTTTGTTGCAGAGGTGTTGATGATGCGATGTTTGATAGCTAAGGGCCAAGGTGATGATATTGGGACCATATGTCTAGTTTGTTACGAGGAATAGAAGTTGGGACCATGTGAATCCTCTATAGATTGGTCGCCCACTAAGTATATCTAGTCTATGCCTTGTTCGCTAAGTAGTCGAGATACTCAGTTTGATTTGGGCCTCCTATGTGGCATGATAGGTCCACCCTGTCTCGGTTTGGTTTGCACCTGTTACGCTTCATGTGTGAGTGCACAGTTAGCACAGTAGGGTTTTTGAACTACCCTAAACTCGGGTGATCCCCCAGCCGGGGCACCGGATAAATCTGGTGAGTGCTGAAAAACAACAGTAAGTCCGGTCTCTCAAGTGCTTTCAAATTTGCTAATTCCACGTGTGTTCCAACTTGAACAAATCTCTTTTAAAAAATGAGTTAGCTTTTCAAAAACATTTTTCAAATCATTTTGACTTGCTCTCTCACCACATCACTATGTCCGTCCAATGCATATGCAAAGTTAGTTCAAACCTAGTGGCACCATATAACCGTCTTTGCTTTAGAGTTCCCCTCTTAATAGTATGCTATGTATCTTAAACCCAACTTTCTTAATAGTACGCTATCTATTACATCTCGACCTGCGACCCCTAACATATACCTTTACCTTCGGACTTGTTTTCATCTCCTTCTATAATGGGTGAGCATTTGCTTCATGTGGCTTGATCTCCGTCTTCACCATCTCCTAGCCTAGCTCATCACCATCACGTGGGCTCTAGCTCAATCACAACTCATTGAAAGTATTAGTCCACTAGGTGTCACTAATTGCTAAAACCAAATTAGGGCTTTTCATCGGGTTGTAAAACCAGATCACATACAGGACGCAGAGGGCCTGACGGCACTTTAGAAAGTAAAAAAAAGATTGACGAAAAATCATTTCACTCTTTAATATTAGATAAAGAAACACTTCTATCAAAAAAAGGATACAGAACCACTTTGGTATTTAATAGTAAGTATATAATAGATATATAATGCAGAAATGTAGAAGACAGCAACGGCCGTGTTTTTTTTATTAGCATAGCGAACTAGCAAATGGGCCTACTTCTAGTTAACCCACTCCGGCCCATTAAATTTGGTATTGGGCTCCCGAGTCCGTTGGGCACCTCTGTTGTTTCCCAGCTTCAGTTCACTGAAGTCCTCTTCTTCAGTGTAGTGACGGCTAGGTACAAGTCTCTCAAATCTCTTGAATGAAAAACTCTCAAATTTCATAATCACAGCAAGAAGCAGCTTCGACGTGTTCTTTAGAGCGCCACGCCGCGGCCATCCGGGCGGCAAATGACGCAACGCCTCAGCATTTTGGAAAGGAGACGACGTCCACATGTGGCTTTGAAATTTTAGATCAGCTGACGAAAACCTCCCGTGGCACGGTTCAATTGACCATGCATGGAAATCGAAGCTCCTTCATGAGATCACATTGCCGAGAAGTCCGCGTCCTTTGGGAAGAAGGTGACTTCAAACTAGGCTGCTAGCCTCGGGGACCACCGGTTAGCCTAGGCCGGGGTAACTGAGATGAGGTGAATTTGTTCAATTATTATGACTTTATGTACCACGGATGAAATTAGTTTCCTGGGCCATTGCTGAATGGTTTCCTCCGTTATTCAATCTCATATAATCATATTATTAGCTTTTAATCATGGCATGTCGAAGTGCGCCAACGTACTGGACTATATATATGCCATGGTCCGGCTTCGGGCATGTTCGTTTTCAGAATCGCATGAAAAAAAAAGCACACGGTAATGATACTGCAACAATCTACTTCCACGAGGAAATACATCTGGATCACAACACCCACACATTACATAGAGAGTACACGGAAGCGCACACCGGCACACATCGGTTCATGACTACTCTGCTCGCGGCAACATGCATCCACGATACACCGTTACGAACTGTGTAGACGATCCCTAATGAACACGATAAATGACTAGAGACAGGCACATGTCGATCTAGCCCACACTCGATCAAGCTTCAAATACCATACCAGTAGCATTATTTATTACTCTCATGCCATGCATTCCTCGCACGGGATGCGCACAGGACGCCTCAGTTAATCCTGCAAAGAGAAGAAAAAAAAAGATAAAAGGTTACAGCACATGTAGTCCAGAAATACAGAACGCAGAACACAGAACAACGATGATCTAGCAACAAAGATAACTGCAGTAGTAGTAGGATGAGAGAAGACGGCCGGAGCTAGCGTGTAGACGACGTACGTGTTGCAGTTGACGTTGGTGCTGATCTTGTAGGGCAGGGAGACGCCGCACTTGCTGGGCAGCGCGGCGGCGCGGCTGATGTAGGTGCCGCTGCCGTTGGCGCCGTTGGCGACGTTCTTGAGGCAGCCGCAGATGGTGCGGCGGTCGGGGGTGTTGTCGGCCTGCGCCAGCAGGCTGCGGATCCCGCCGCAGCACGGCTGGGGCGGCATCGCCCCGCCCATCTGGACGAACGGCAGGCACGGCATCAGCGTGCTGTACACCGTGGAGCACGACATCGCGGCGCGCACCGCGGCGGGCGGAGCCACCACGGTCGCCGCCAGGAGCACGGCCAGCGCCAGCGTCGCGAGCTTCGGGGAAGCCATGCCTCTCCCTCCTTCAAATACCAGTAGTACAGCAAGCGGAGAGTGTGTGCGTTATGATTCGAGGGTTCTGGTGTGGGGATACGAGGGTTTTTCCAGGGGGGGGGGGGGGGGGGGTTATATAGTGGAGGGCATGTTACTAATAATACGGGTGGGTGGGTGAGTGCATTCAGGGGAGGAGTTAAGATGGTTCGCTGTCGCTGGTAGACGCATCGCTCCGCTGCGGTGCTACCAGCTGTAGGAGTTTTTTATTAAACTGCAGCGCGCTAGAGTAAAAGAGTCGTGCAGAGATCCACTCGTACGTCGTAGCAGCTGCACTCTCAACGTTTCGTCATGCATGGTTCATATATTTTCGGCTAGAGTTCAAATAGGTCCTGGCCTTTATCTGCTTGGCGGAAAAGACTAGAAGGTAACCTTAAACCGAAGGAATCGATCATCTGTGCCCGATCCACGATTCGCACTACTCGGTTGAACCATGTGTATATGCATGCTATGTACTCCAGTTTGCAGCAGACAGCGGCGCTTATAGAATGCTCCTACTTTTGTGGTGAACTGGTGAACACAGGCGATGACCGAGGACTGAGCCAGCCTAGGCAAGTAGCCATACAACGTGACTACGCGTACGCGATTAGTACTAGCCAGCAAGACAGCTCAGGTTCGTGGCAAACGCGGGCGCGGCCGGTTTGGGTTTGGTACTTGGTCTTGGGTTAGCTACTTTCCTAGTGGTAGTCGGACGAGTGAGCCGTGAGCGAGTGGACAGCTCATGCAGACCTTCCATGTGGCCGTCACTACATGTTTAAGCATGCCACCTTCTTTCAAGTACTCCCTCCTTTCTAGAATTCAATTCTACCATGTGGTGTGCTAAATCCAATCATCTTAAATTTGGCAAAATTTATATAAAATAAAAACTTTTGTCTGTCATACTATACAAATTTAATTAAATTCAACATGGGATATATGCATAGAATACTTATTTGGAATCATAAATATTGATATTGTTTTTATAAACTCTGTTAAACATAAAACCCATTTAGAATAAAGGAAAAATCAAGAAATTTAAAGGAGTGGAATTCTATAGAAAAATTGCATACTGAGCTTTTTTTTTATGGAATTGCCTGTTTTATATGAATTTTGGAGGAATTTTACCTAAAATTTGAACTTGTGGAAAGTTTATTTTGTGTTACACATTCTCATTGAATTTTCGTGCTTTCATATGCTTCATCGCAGTTTTCAATCTTACAGTTTCCTGCGTTTTTTCAACTCATAGGATTCAAGATATTTGGATGTTATATTTCTATATGTTTTCCTATTCTTGCGTTTCTAGAATTGCGTCTTCCAAATATATCCTAAGATGGTTTAACTTAGACTAAACTTAGGATTGTTATTTTTCTTTGGAACAGAGATAGTAGTTGTGCAACCATTGAGGAGCGCAAATTCTAACACACGAGGCTTCCAAGATTACAAGCAGGGATCGCTAGTTAGGGAGGTCACTGGACCTGCAATGGTGGTAGTCGAGACGGTAGCAGAACAAGGCGATGGCCGCCGTCCATCGAGACGATGGGAAAGGTCGGTTGAGCAGTGCAGGTGTCGAGGGCATTGGTTGGAGAAGAAGGGGTCATTTGGCCAGTCTTTGCTCGTGCTGCTCCGTCGTGGGAGCCGGAGCCGGAGCGACGGAGCCACAAATCGGCGCTCCGCTTCCGTACGTGTAAAGGCTCTGGCTCCTCTAGCGACACGCAGAAGCGTTCCTCCGGTCGGGTGCGCTTGGTGTGGCTCCACCGCCAGAGTTGCCGCGGAGCCGGAGTTGAGCGCGACCAAACAGACCCGAAGTAGCTAGAGCGCGTCCTGAGTCTTGCAGAAACGACTGTTCTTTGTTGCGTTTTACGAGCACTATTAACCGTATCGAAACAAATTAGGACATTAGAACCAGGACTACAGGAGATGGGCCTATGATTACAATCAAGACGGTCGTGGGACGAGGCAAGCATACTCTGCCAAATGAATACTCTCTCCGTCCGTAAAAAAGAGTCGAAAATTATGCTGGTCAAACTTTCTCAACTTTAACTAGATTTGTAGAAAGTGCGTTCAACATTTATGTCTCCAAATAAGTTTAATATGAAAGTATATTCAACGATCTAACTAATAATACTAATTATGTACCATACATATTAGGAAAAATTGACTATGGGACACTAGAGAAACACGTAATTGGTCAGTGAACACCGCCAAAGTCAAAATTTGCTCGCAGACATTACAAATTTGTGGTTCTTTGCCGGAAGACACCGCACCGATTATTTTATTCATTTTTTAGTTTAGAGGAGAGAGAAGGTGAGGAAAATGTCTAAACTGCCATTGTCTTCTTCAATCTCTTGTCGTTCACTGGCCGGTCAAGTAGGGCAGTAGGGGGCTGGTTGCCGGCGGCGACCTGGGCAGCACCCAGTGCCAGCAGGGGCGGCCGTCCGCCATGGCCGCGCCCCCGGCAAGGTTGCGCCCACTCGTCCGCGCGCAACCTCCGCCGTCCGCCATGGCCACGCCTCCGCCCTGGCCTCCACCCGCGTGTCTCACGCTCATCCTCCTTCGCCCGTCCGCTGCGCCACAACCTCAGCCTCCGCCATGTCTGCGGCTCGCCCTTCCTCCTCCTGCTCACGCTCACGCTGCCCCCCCACAACCTCTACCGTCCGCTATGGCCATGCCTCCACCATGCCCGTTGTGGGATGCTGATGCCCGATGCGCCACCAAGGCCGGAGGAACTGGAGCGGCCGCTGGCGTGCTACCTGTGCAGGGGAGAGAAGAAAAGGGAGAGGGGAGAAGAAGAAGGCCGGGGCAAAAATGACATTTCGCCGCTCTTCTCTCTCCTGCAAAGTTAGAAATGAATATTTTAATAGGCGCAGTGTCCTTCAGCAAATTTTACAAAAAAAAACAAAGTGTCTTTCAACAAATCTGATTATTTTCAGTGTCCGTCAGCAAAGAGAGGTCATTTTCGGTGTCATGTGACCAATTCGCCCTAAATATTTATAGTTTATTAAATATATTTGGTTAAAGTTAAAAATTATTGATTTTTTGGAAAACCAGAATGACTTTTTTTAAGGACCGAGGAGTACAGCCCTTATTTTTAAAGTGATTTGGCCCGGATCATCCACGCTCATCTGCGCAGCCAGCAAGTTCGATCAGCAGGGTGGATGGCTTTCCAGTGCCCGGCTGGGGACGCGCGTACCTGCATTTGCATCTCTGCGTGGGAGCGTAGGCAGATGCAGGAGCAGGCAGCAGGCATGCAGGGACCAGGGATGCTGCCCTCCGGGATTCAGCGGGTCCTGCCGAACAGTCGCGCGGGAGTCAGCGCATCAACAGAAGCGACGTACGGTAACGGCACCGACGGAAGCAATGTACGCTTACCCAGGTACGTTAGTTTCCCTTTTATTTTTCTTTTTTCCTTATTTCTTCTCATTTCTTTTCTTTTCTTTTTCTATTTTCTTTTCGCGCTTTATTTTTATTTATATTTCTGTTTTTGTTTTATTATGTGGTTTTTTATTATTATTTTAATTTTTCATTATTTATGTTTCTTTTATTTGTTTTTATTTTCTTATTATTTTTATTTCCTTTATTCATTTTTTTCATTCTTTTTTTTTTCGTTTCATGTGATTTTTCATTATTTTTTCATTTTTTATATTTTTATTTTGTTTTCTTTTTATCGATTTCTTTCCTTGCTTCTATTTATTCTTTCTTTTTCTTTTTAGTTTTCTATATGTTTTTTATTCTTGTCTTATTTTTCTTTCTTTTCTTTCTTTTTAACTATACTACTACTACTACTACTAAACTTTTGTGGTTCTTTATTCTTATTTTCCTTTTTGTTTTTCTTTCATTTTTTATTTTATATGATTCAATATTATATATATATATATTCTATTTTCATGTTTTATTCTTTTCTTATCCTTCTATTTCTTTCTTCTTTTCTATTTGTTTTATGTTTTTTGTGTATTTTACTATTTCCATTTCATTTTTTTTTTTTTACTTTACTTTAGTTACTCTAAATTTTTTTAGTTTTACTTTTATTATTTTCTTTTTATTCTACGAGGTACCTATAATGCGAAAATCTTCCCTTTTCGATCGCTTTCGATGGGAGCCAAGGTGTTCGATCTCGTGTGCGGATGTCAGATTGACACGCATTAACCAATGCGGCACACGGTAGTGCGGATGTTTGTATATGAGTAGTTCTTAATGTTTATACCATGTATGCGCAAATCTTTTTATTCTTTTATTTCTTTTTCTTTTTTTCTTTTTTTTTATTTTCTTTCTTCATTTTTTATTTTTTATTCAACATTGTTTATATGGAGTAGTTCTTAATGTTTATACGGAGTAGTTTCTTTTTAGTTTCTTTCCTTGTTCTATTTATTCTTTTTTTTCAAATCTTTTTATTCTTTTCTTATTTTATTTGTTCTTTTTTTTTGTTACTATATGGTCTTTTTATTCTTTATACTTTTATGTGCATTTTTGTTTCTATAGTCTTTTATATATATTATATTTTCATTTTTATTCTTTTTATTGTCATTTGTTTTTACTTTATTTTACTATTTCCATTATTTTAATATTTTTTTGAATTTTTTTATATTGTATGAGATATATGTGACATTCACGTGCTATATATGTGATGTTCTATAACAACGTATTAGGTAGTGCAACCGATGTTCCACATGTTATATGGATAGTGATATTCTATAAGTAGTATTTTATGATGTTCACGTCGTATTTTTAAATCTTTTCATTCTTTTCTTATTTATTTTATTATTTTGTTCATCGTATGGTATATATTCTTTAAATGTGATGTTCTAAAATGTATTGATGTTCACGTAATAAATGTGATGTTCTATGATGTATTTTGTGATGTTCACGTACTATACATGTGATGTTCTATTATGTACTGTATGATGTTCACGTAATATATATATGATGTTCTACAAATGTATTTTATGATGTTCGCGTAATGATGTATTTAGTGATGTTCACGTAAT